CCTTCGTTACATAGAAAGAATTTGTCGTGATAATCGTTTAATTACTTTTGCTGTCTGAAGTAGAACTTAGCCAATAGATAGACGTAAACTCTGTTTAAACATGGGGGTTGGGTGGCCGATGGTTAGCACGTCCGCGTTGAATCAGAAGGTCTGTCATTGAGTCAAGTGGCAAGTACGGTGGTTTCGATTTCCCGCATGTACGTAACAAAGATTATAGTCGCCTGCCCAACCTCGTGGGTTTCCTCCCACTGCTAAAGACCCCTTCTTATGTTAGTCCTAAAATGACCTACTCTCTCTCTCTCTCTCGTCGCCTGTCCAACCTCGTGGGATTCCTCCCACTGCTAAAGACCCCTTCTTATGTTAGTCCTAAAATGACCTACTCTCTCTCTCTCTCTCTCTCTCGTCGCCTGTCCAACCTCGTGGGTTTTCTCCGGGTCCTCCGGTTTCCTCTTCCACTAAAGACCCCTACGCGCAAGCAAATTATGGAAATAAACTTGAACCATATGTTAGTCCCGAAATGACCTAGTTTGTGTCGAGTGGACGTTATACTCTCTCTCTCTCTCTGTTTAAAGGTCTTTACGTGTTTATCTACCCTTCTTAATATATCAACACAACCGTGTTACATTCTGCACACAGTGGACTATCTACTTTGAGAATAGATCTCTGCCCTGAATGGCGGCCATGATACAAATATTAGTATGGTTCTAATCCGTTTTACAGAGAGAGAGAGAAATGGGGTTTAACGTCCACTCGACACAAACTAGGTCATTTCGGGACCAAAATCCGTTTTACAACTAAGGGGGGATCGCGTGGCTAAGTGGGTAAGACGCTGGCTCGCTAGCCTGGAGGTCGGGTGTTCGATCCCTGCATTGGCCGAGAAAGTTCATCCAGATTTTCCGGCGTGGTTTCCCCTTGTCAGTGTTGCAGGACGGAGGGCCTGACAAGGACAGCTGTCTAGTCGTTCGGATGGGACGAAAAACCGAGGTCCCGTGTACATATTGGCTTGCACGTAAAAGATCCCTTGGCAGTTGGAATTCGATATAAGAGTAGGCCGTAGCGCCGCTGCCCGGGCAAAATTTCCCTCATAGCACACTGTATGGCGTATGCCCGTCTTCATTAGCCCAGTTAGGAGCAGAACAGTAGGACGTTAAACCCCATTTCATTTCATTTCATTTACAACTAAGGACCAAATAAAATAAACATTTCAATTTTATTAAATGGAATCATAATAAATATATCTCAAAATACCCGGAGTATGCTAAGTGATTTTGACTAAAATCGTCGATTTATGAATTAAAATGTCGGTCAATCAGCTTCGTGTCTGTTCCCAAGCGGAGCTACATTGTAATTGTGGACATATAGCGTAAGTTTCGTATGAATCGTGTTTGTTTCTACTAAAGCTCGGTTCATACTACATCCGTATTCATAAACGTATCCGCACCCGCATCCGTATCCGCGTTTTGCCGTTCAAATAGAAAACGCGAAAACGTCCGGCTTTCAAGGCTGAATTGTCTGTCAGAGATTGAGTTTCTATTTGTGGAGATGATGTAATAAGGGGAAAGTACTCGCTGATTGGCTAAAGCTCGGCTCACTAGCCAAAATGCCGGACGCACTTTACAAAAATACGCTCTGGGAGCAATCAATCCGGCTTAACGGACGCAGTTGTTTTTGTGTGCAATACGTGCCGGATTCTATTTCAACCCTTTCTCTAAAAATGATACCAGTAAGTATACCAGTACGTATTCACGCAAGTATTTACAGATACGGATACGGATGTAGTATGAACGGACCTTTACAGTAGCTGATTGATAACGTGACTCTCAGCCATGCGTAGATCCGTTATCTCTTTAGAAAAATCATACCACAGGAAATCAGAGAAGGGGACGCAATGACATGCTTGGTGGTATGGGCATGATATTTTCCGGGAAATATTTTTACAAGTTATGAACGCATACTTGAAAATTCCGCATTGACGCTTTTATTCTACGCTGGTCAAGTCTGGAGGTCGCGCCCGGTGTTAGACGATTTTCTGACCTGGTTTTCCCTTGTCAGTAATTCAGGACGGAGGGTCTGACAAAGACAGCTTTGTAGTCGTTCGAATGGAACGAAAAACCGAGGCCCCATGTACACATTGGAGCGCACGTAAAAGATCCCTTGGCAGTTGGAATTCGATATAAGAGTAGGCCTCAGTGCCGCTGTCCCGGCAAAATCTCCCTCGTAGCAAACTGTATGGCGTATGCCCGTCTTCATTAGCCCAGTCGGTGCAGAACAGTAGGACGTTAAACAACATTTCATTTCATTTTTACGCTGGTTAACATATATGTCAGCAATTGTTGTTTCTGTATTTAGAAGGTAATTAGATAGATCGAGAATTAGCCTTATACCTTCGAGTCATTCAATATACATATTGACCTGTACGACATGTTCATATTAAAACTACATATATCTACATTATAGGTACAATACATATATACTTATTCTAATTTAGAAATAATCTTACCAAACACATTTTACTCAAACTTTAACATACATTATCACGACCATCCAAAGATAATAAATTCAAATCAAGCCGAAAATCGCCTTAATTATTGAATAACCAAACAACTTGCCTCCATAGGTAGGTTTAACGGACGGTTGAATACCACACCTCAAAATTAGCACGACTCGGAATTTAAGAGTAATTTTGACTACGATATGGGCGATTTGTCTGCAAGTTAAATGGAAAGGGGGGTCACGTGGGTCTAACGCGTGCGCTTTAAATCACGAGGTCTGTCATTTTGAGGGCAGTTACGTGGTTTCAGTTGCAAGCTTGTACGTACATGTAATAAGGGGTAGCCCCGTGTACCCAACCTCGACAGTACGACAGATCATAGGTCGCTAATAGCGCAGTGTGTTAATTTCCTAATTTCTACTTTTCGAGTTGCATTTTGGCTTGTATAGCGTGTTGGCGCCTTCTTACTGACATCAATAAATACAAAAATATGACTAAGTCGAAAGTCGACAAGACGGTATACAAGCCAAAATGCAAGTCGAAAAGTAGAAATTAAGAAAAAACGGGGGCGCTATTATCGCGGTGTGTTATTTCTTAATTTCCTATTTTCGAGTTTATTTTGGCTTGTATACCGTCTTGTCGCCTCACATTTTGTCGTAACTTCTACTTTTCGACTTTCGTGTTCTGAAGAGGCGAAAAGTAGAAATTATGAATGGTAGTTATAGGCTTCCATAAGTCTATCCATGGCAATATGTCTTTTGTCGCGACCACGTCGTTAAATAGCAGGAGACGTTTATGATCTCACCTGCCGCTAGTCTCGAATACTAGACTTTAACCGCCTGGATACTAGTCTCTATCATTCAGATGAATATTCCTACGTTGAAGACAAGGAGGTTCTAAGTGACCGAGACTACCTCGATAACATTCTTCTACTTTCGTTTTATTGTGCCTCCTGTAGTTTTATATATCTTGATGTGACAAAATATATCGACCCAACGATCATAAAATAACATAAATATGGCTCAGTGAGTAAGGCGCTAGCACACCAAACAGGAGGTCAACGTTTCGAACTCGGCTTTTCTAGAGATGTACCAGCCTAGCCCCCCCCCCCCCAGTTCTTCTCCGTATCCGTGATACAGGATGAGGGGCGGGGCTCAGTGAGTAAGTCGCTAGCACAACAACTAGGAGGTCCACGTATCGATGTCGGCGTTGGCCAAAAAAGTTCCTAGGGATGTTCCAGCCTACCCCCACCACCCCCGCTTGTCCGTAGTTCTGGATTGGTTGCATAACCGGTTGGCCCACAAAAGTGTAACGTTAGACCGCCATTTTATTTCATTTCATTTGCAGTAGTAGGCCTACTTGTCTAGGAAACAAAATGTAATCAATTTTCTTTCTCCTGACTAACATGTTGTAGGCCTATTTATATTGTAAAACTACAAGCTATGCCGTATTTTTTCTATAGGCCCACTTACTCCCTTGTTTTCGTTTAATCCTGTATCACTCGCCCGGGACTGATCAGTGCACTTGACGAGCACTCCGGAAAAACCCACGAGGGTAGGTAGGCAACCCTACTCCTTGGGATTGAACTCACGACACTTGACTCGATGACAGACCTTATGATCTAACGTGCACAGTTTTCATTCCTCTGAATCCGTGACTTTAATACTTTGACTATTTCAAATCACAGTTGAATACTCATTTATATCAGGAATTCTACAAGAATTAGACTGTCTATCCACTGTGTATGTAACTATTTTCTCATCCCGCTTCGAGCATGCTTTGGAACAGGTTTGGCGCTGTTCAAGTATATATTTATATATAATTAACAATAAATAGTTTAAAATATTGCTTTCGTATATAAAATGTTCAAACTGGGATGTAGAAACACAAATCATTAACCTTGTCCTATTCGGTCTTCCATATGCCACACTGTGTAAAGGGAGATAACTCCTAATGGCATGCAAACATTTCTTGAACGTTTTTAAGTGAACCTATTTAAACTGTAAGGCATGGAGAAGGTACATTCATCCCTGGACCAACCATTATTCAAAATAAGGACGTGTTTAGGGAAAGCTTAGGGAGCGGGGCGTCGATTGAAGAGGACACCAGAGTATAATACTATATGAGAATATAAAGGGTTTTCTGCCAAGGGGTCTGTAATCCACATGGACATGGTCAGCTCTGTGGAGTCGGGTCTTCTAATAAAATATCGTGACATAGCTTAAAGTTTTATAATATAAATAGGCCTACAACATGTTAGTCAAGAGAAGGGAAATTGGTTAAATTTTGTTTCCTAGACAAGAATTATATGGCAATATATATATATATATATATATATATCTGATATTTTATTGTAATATTTTATTCATTTCACTAATCGTAGGCCTATAGTATAGGCCTATTTCAAATGGTTTATTTACAAAACACGTGATTTTTAAACTATATACATAAATCAATATTACGATATATATACAATGCAATATGCAATTCATACACAACTTTCATACTTCAATAAGCACTTGTTGACATCATTAACCAGCCAAGGTCCGACTGACGCCGCGATATCTCGATACCTGTAGCCGGACCAGAGCCCAGCAGCGGTCGGACCAACCCTTCAGCAGCAGACAGTCCACTTACAGATCAACGTAGGGATCTTGGCTGATCAAAAACCCATATTGAGCTCTGCAATGAGCTGGTGAGATATTGTAACCTATTTATGTTTTCAATTGCAGATAAAGAAAAATGGCGGAAAGTTCTGTGGTTGGTTGTGGAAAGTGTCTGAAATATTTTCTAATTATTTTTAGTTTTTCATCTTTTGTAAGTTGAATATATTATCTACTTTTAATTGGGGTGGATATTAAAATTTAAAATGTGTCACGTATTGGAAAATATTTTTTGAACGCACATTCCCCAGTCGACTGGGCTAATGAAGCCATACAGAGGGCAGTTTGGGACATTTTGCCAAGACAACGCCACTACGTCCTACGCTTTTTTCGATTTTCAACTGTCAAGGGTTCTTTTACTTGTACGCCAATGTGTACCCGGTATCTCGGTTTTCGTCCCATCCGAACGACTGTACGTTGTCCCGTGCCAGATCCTCCGTCATGTACCACTGACAAGGTGGAACCATGCCGGAAAATCCCGATGAACTTTCTCGGCAAACACCGGACTTCCAGGTTAGCGAGCCAGCGCCTTACCAACTGAGCCAGCGCGACGCCCTCATTATCTTGCTACCTTTACCAACCATTGCATATATAGACAAGAAATATTGGTATTCGTTCCCTTTTTTACGTCCGCACTCTGGGTGCTAATATTGGGTGTCCCTACTGCGAGAGCTGACATTAGGTTGTCTCTACTCTGAAAGCTGGCATTGTGTGTCCTTTCTCTGAGCGCTGACATTAGGTTCCTTTCTCTGGAAACTGACTTTGGGTGTCCCTTTTCTGGAAACTGACACTGGGTGTCCTTTCTTGGGTGCTATGAGGGAAATTTTGCCCGGACTGCGGCAAAACTGTTAAGGGTTCTCTTACGAGCACGCCAATGTATACACGGGACCTCCGTTTTTCGTCCAATCCGAACGATTAGAGAGCTGTCCTTGACAGACCCTCAGTCCTGCACCACTGACAAGGGGAAAACCGCGTCGGAAAATCAGGAGGAAATTTCGCGACCAATGCAGGGATCGAACACGCAACCTCCCGACAAGCGAGCCAGCGTCTTACCCCCTTAGCCACCGTCTTACCCCCTTAGCCACCGTGGCTCCGCATATTCTTAGAAGTGACATGTTATGGTTGGTGACACATACTTCATACTCTGAAAAAAAGCGGTGGCCTTTATGTCCCGGTTTCGGACTGTCAAGGAAAGTTTTAGTTTGTCGTTCTGATTGGAGTGCAAGTAAAAGAACCGTTGACATAATTTAAAGACGAGTATGGCGAAATTACCCACGTCGTAATGAAATGGACTTTATAATCTCAAAATAATCTATAATTAATTTGTTGTCGAGACGTTTTATCCTATTTCATTAACTGAAATGAAATGAAATGAAATGGGGTTTAACGTCCTACTGTTCTGCTAATAAACTGGGCTAATGAAGACGGGCATACGCCATACAGTGTGCTATGAGGGAAATTTTGCCCGGGCAGCGGCACTACGGCCTATTCTTATATCGAATTCCAAAACCAAGGGATCTTAATACGTGCATGCCAATGTGTACACGGGACCTCGGTTTTCCGTCCCATCCGAACGACTAGACAGCTGTCCTTGTCAGGCCCTCCATCCTGCATCACTGACAAGGGGGAAACCACACTGGAAAATCTGAATGAACTTTCTCGGCCAATGCAGGGATCGAACACCCGACCTCCAGGCTAGCGAGCCAGCGTCTTACCCACTTAGCCACGTGAAACCCATTTCATTAACTATTATTAATGTTTAGGCAATGGGGTGCTTTTAATTTAATGATTTTCAGAGATCAGTTGGATTATTATATTAGTGTATATCCTGTATTTTGTAGCTGGTCGGCTGCGCAGTTTTAACTGTTGGCCTTTACACATTGTTGACTGATTTCGGTTCAGATGAAGCTGCCGCCATCTTGGGGAGTGATATCTACAAAGCCGGTTCGTATACGTTGGCTGCTGGCGGAGGGATAATTCTAGTTGTGTCGTTATGTGGTTGCTGTGGATCCATTAAAGAAGATCGCGGTTTCTTATGTTGTGTAAGTTGTCTCCCTTTTTTTATGATCTTAGCCTTCTGATTGATTAGCGCCTACTGTTATCAATGGTAATAGACAGGCTATAACTATCGCTTTTCAGACCGGTTGTCGGGGGTGGGGGAGGGGGCGGAGGAGGGGGAGGGGGAGGGGGATTCTTTACGTACGGAAAACTCACCAATCTGGAACTGTTACGTGTCTAACGCTGTCCCTTGTTATTTTAGAAGAATGATAATCATATGTTTGAACTTGATTTCGATATTCCTGAACCCAATAAGACACGACCCCTAAAGAAATGATCTTAGTATGTTCATCCCTTGTCCATTTAATCATCAAATGGGGGAAATGACGTACCCCATACGATGCTGTCTGTGTTAATAAGTTTATAAAAAATAAAGCTACCTTCTTAAAAAAAATAAAAAATACCAAAGTGAAGCTTAAACAAAAATTGATAAGGACAAGACGTGCTTAAAACCGTGATTTCTCTCTCTAGTCGCTAGCAACTCACAATCTAACCAAGCAATCAATGACACGGAGTGGTGATATTGACTCGGCGATCCACGTCCTAGAATAAGACAGCTTAATACACCCGTCACAAATAAAAAACAACGAAGTGAACGTGTAGCTCTAGAGGTTAGAAAAAGCAATGATTCTGATCTCAGGGGAATTCTAACCGATTATCAGTTACAATTACGCAATCCTAGTCTTTCTTAGCTTAAAGTTGTATTCCTGTTCAAATTATGTAGGGGGGTTTAGTGGTCCAATGGTTTTGGTCTGTCATTGAGTCAACTGGCTTTCAAATAATATTCTAAAGACGGTCATAAACTTTGGGTTTTTAGTCAACAGAGTCAGCTGGTGTGGTTTCGATTTCCCGGTTGTACGTGACAAGGTGTAGGGTCGCCTGTCCAACCTCGTGGGTTTTCTCTGGATCCCCCGGTTTCATCCCACTGCTAAAGACCCCTACGCACAAGCGAATTATTGAAATAAAATTGAACCATGTGTTAGTCCCGAAATGACCTAGTTTGTGTTGAGTGAACGTTAAACCCCTCTCTTTAAATATTATTCTGGATTAAGTTATTTAAACAACTCTTATCTAAGGTTAGTGCCACGATGGATATAGAACCTTGGAGTGTTCAGATTTTATTTTGTTCTTAATGGCAGTCAGAAGCTAGATTACGTGTAATTGACGTACGAGACTATTGACTATAGCCACGATTGATCCAGTAAATAAAGCGCGAAACAGGAGGAAGGGATCAAAGCTGGATAATTGAAACAAGCCGAGACGGATGAACGTAGGTCTCCTTGGTCGATATAAAAAGACAGAATATGACTGATGAAAGGACGAATAAATAGGAAGAATAAAATGACAGCCGACGTAATAAATAAAAATGGCTGAAACCAGGCCCGTAGATACTGTGTGGAATGGGGGATGGGAGTTGGTGGATGTAATTTTAAGTCTCGCTAGTATTAAAATCATCCCAAAACTCAACATTTCATGGGCGCTCGATCCTTGAAACCCATCGGGCTTCTGCGCTGCTCCCCGCACTGTCTTTCTGGAGATTACTATTTGCCACTACTCGGGTAGTATCCCATTCCGGAATCTGTGCACTAGCTAAAACCATGTAATTTATATAGAAATGGAAAGAATAATTAAGTGTAGTTTGGGTAATGTCGTTAGTAGAAAAAACCTTAAACTGAATTCTAACCCAGCTACCTTGTGGGTGACAACCTGTACAAATAAGTTTCGGGTTACAAATATATTGCCCCCCCCCCTCCACACCCCCCCCCCCCACACACACATACACACCGGTTTTTATTTTTAAATCATCCATTCGATCAGAAGTTATCTTGTAGACTGGACCATCCAGGCCTAAACGACTGCCATTCATTTTGGACTGCTGACGTATTTCACCGAACATATCTGATTAGGAATTAGAATAAAAATGTAAATGCATTTATATAACATTAATAAAAGCTATTTTTATTTCTTTTACTCATTTTCGACTTTTATAAAATTCCAAAGACAAGAGTTATGCGTCCTTTAATATTTTAATCTTTCATACCTTGGCAAGGCGAAAATTTACTTTAGTTTTATCAGCGATATTGATAGGCGTAAATACTTTACTTGAAGATTTAATAGGGAATGTTCATGTCTGGTGAACATAGACTACATTGAAGTCACCATTATCCAACTAACGACATTAGTAGATCATCACGGAGGGTTGGCTGTAGGATCCGACGCCTTAGTTTACACTACACACGGATGGAGCTGGACTAGAAACCGGTTGATGATGACGTTAACGGTGATTAATATTGAGAGCCAAGTCCCCGGGGAATCAACTAGTAATTTAATACTGATTTAACACGGAATAAAACCAAGTGAAGAAGAAATTAGTGATTTGTTTTTCATTTTCTGGGAATATCATTTAAATTTAGACTTGATTAAGTAAATGAAAATTGTGGAAATTTCTTTGGTTTTCACTAAAGGCAGTTAAACCTGCCTTGTCATGACCTCGTAAACCAAATAAAATAGTAGAATTCACTATGGGAGTCATGTTCATCTTCACGTTGTCAACACCATACTAAACTTACACTGTCTAGCTACAATTAGACCCACTTGAGAACAGGGGCCTGTATCACGAAATTTTAACTGAGATAAAATCCAAATATTAGTAATTTGATCGGATAATATTAGATTGATTTTAGTGCTTAGCCAATCAAAATTGAAGTATTTACTAAAATTTGGATTTTATCTTTAGTTAAAATTTCGTGAAACAGGGTCCTGACACTTAGCTGTTTGACCGATATTTTTAGTTCTAAATCAACGATATTATTCGAAAACACTGAGTGCACTTCAAGAATTTTGAGAACTAGATACATTATTAGTAAGTGCGGGGGGACTACACCACACAATTTACACAAAAACAAATAAACGGACAAGACATCATACTCAGGAAAACACAAACAGACAGACAATTTAAAAAAAAGTGAATAGATCCGGGGGCTAGCCGTAAGCGTCCAGCTGCGCTGTACAATCCCGGTTCTGTAGTGACACACAACACAGACTTCACTCAAATTTGAAAACAAGAGCTAAATCTGCCCATTGCGGGTCTTTATTCCGTCTTAAAATATTTATATAAATTATTATTTAAACACCGCAGCCATTTAAGAGTTTAACGAAAAAATAATCATTAGTCTCGATTGCCAAGTACCGTTGTCAAAACTCCAAACACCCATAACTTCGCAATGAATAATGTAATTTGAATGAAATTTTCAATACATTCATTTTGCATTATCTATTGTTGAACTCTTATTGCAAGAACGGTCAGGACAAAAGTTTCAGTGACTTCTCTATTTGCTGTAATATGAACTGGTTTACACGGGTTTAGTGGAAGCGAAGGCTAATGATTTGCTAGTCCATAAATATTCAAAGGGTCCCCCTCCCCAAGAAGTTTCTCCCCCGGGCATATGCCCCTCCCCTCTTCCCCCCACCATGTGAGGGCCCTGGGAACGGTCAGCTCTTTGTCTAATTCGTACATAATGCATCTTTAAATGTCAATAACAATTTATCACATCTATCCGAGGAACGAAACTTTCCGAACTATTTGATTGTATTTATATGTCTACTGACTGTTTCTATATTATTTCAGTATTTTGTGGTATTTATATGTATGCTGACGGTATTTATTGCTGCTGGAGTTTTAGGATTTGTGTTCAGGAACAAGGTAATTTGGTTTTCTTTGTCTTTTAAAGTTGGTTCACAACAAAAAAAAATGAAATGAAATGGGGTTTAACGTCCTACTGTTCTGCTCATATTGGGCTAATGAATTGGGGCATTGTCATACAGTGTGCTATGAGAGAAATTTTGCCCGGGCAGCATTGGTTCATCACTAATCCTGACGTCAATTGGGGGAAGCGAAGGGGTAAATATTCTTTAAATGGGATGGCAGTATCTTGATTTCATTCCTTTCCAATCTTTCACAAACCAGCTAAAAGCTAAACCTCTTTTATATAGGCAAGATGTATTGGACTGTGTTGATATGGTTGGATGCGATTAAAATGATGTTTCGGTAGATTAAGAGCATGTCGACTTCGACTTGGTTATTGTTTGTCTTATTGTGTCGAGAGGGGGTGACAGAATGGGGAGAAAGAGAAGATGGGGCTTGGGGTTCAAGTGGGGTGAGGTTGTAATGTCAATTTAACTATGAAAATGGTTCCAATGATGGCCTAGCAATGACTTGGACCTATCAACTATGGCGATTTACTACCAATCAGATCAGAGAGATTTATTCTCCTCATTTATCATCTGTTTATATACCAGACATGATATCATTATAATATAAAATATTCCCTGACCAGTTTAACTCTATACCCAGTTCACTCCCTTGATCAGATTATTAAAGACAATAACACCATAGTAAACCATTTATTACCGACTGATTTACAGACTGATAAATACTTAAACAAACTATAATTACACCCTTGAGTTCAAAATAACCTTATCATATTATACACTCAATATATACCACACTCAATCATTTCAACAATTGGTCGCTTTAAACAGACACATACACGCGGCCATTTCACGACACAAAACAAATATTCCTACATTGGGTGAAACAGAACCCCCAAAATCCATACTTTCGGTGACATTGAACGCCAAAAATCCATACTTTCAGTGACATTGAAAGCCAAAAGTCCATACATTTGGTGACACTAAACACCCAAAAAAAGTACTACATTTGGTTAGCCACAAATATAGTGCCTTTTATTCATAGGGATTTTCTCTCTTTACCTCATTGCCATTGCGATATTTTGTTGAACTTTTATGTAGAACTTGAATTACTAATTTTTCTACCAGGTTTTTGTAGGATAAGAGAGTTAAGAGGCTGGTTACGTTGAAATGTAGGGCGGATAGTTACATTTTTATTAGTATGCTACTTTTAGTTTATGTATCTCACGATTTCCATGGTGAAACTCATACCTGCTTTTGAGCAAGTCACATCTTCCTCCACCTGTGGTAGAAAGAGTTCAGCCCTACGAAAATTTGTGAAAGCGTTAATAGAGAAGGGCAAAGTGACGAGAATTAATATTAAAGTCAAAGGGGGTGGAGGGAGTGTCAAATCTTGGAACATTTACGTAACATATGACGTTTTCAGCGTAAATTTGCACCTTTCAAAGTCTGGACATTTCAGTAGTGATAGGTAAAGACTGCGGTCAAAACTTGTTTGATTTTCAAATTCTAAATTGTTTTAATGCGCTTATACCTAGCGCAAAAGTGGCGAACTTATTCTTTCAAGCATAGTCGTAGGGGGTCAATCTCAGCTGGAGGGGGTTGGGGTGGAGGGAGAGGCTATTCGCCCCGAACATCATCTTTGTTACCCGAATTTCAGAATGATTCAATCAGCCACTAAAACGAGCTTTCCACAAAGCTGTGATGGTTGTTTACTTTTACAATTATACAATTATATTTCCATAATGTATGAGCTTATTCTCTGATGATTGTGCCCCCCCCCCCCCCCGACTCCTACGTCTACAAGTGGGGTTGGATGGTCGAATGGTTAGCGCGTGCGCGCTGTATCGCACGGTCTGTCATTGAGTCAACTTCCGGGGTTATATGTGACAAGCCGTAGGGTCGCCTGCCCAACCTCGTGGGTTTTCTCCGGGTCCTCCGGTTTACTCCCACTGCTAAAGACCCCCTACGCGCAAGCGAATTATTGAAATAAAAAATTGAACCATGTGTTAGTCCCGAAATGACCTAGTTTGTGTCGAGTGGACGTTAAACCCCATTTCTTTCTCTCTCTCTCCAAGTACAAAGGGATGATATTTCTGTGGCATTTTTCCGTAAAATATGAAATTTTCCATGAATTACTCCACGCTATCATGTTCTCCTATTGATTATTTCACATTTAATTAAGAAAACATTAAATCCAAATATAAACCGTAGATAATCTCTCGTCTTTCATTCAGAGCCTTTTAAGCTGTATTTAATATACATGTTTGTCTTGACCACAAATGTCAGTGTTTGTTAAATATACTGCTTTTGTTACCAGAGACAGAATCATTGATATTTTAACGGGCCTTTGGAAAAATTAAAACAGAAATATCGAAAGCGTTGATTGCCAAAAAATGCGGCAAGTTTTAAATGTCACAGAAATTAGTCTGTGAAGATCTGAGGAATTCATAGAAAGATAAAAATCTGAGTTGGATTGATGACTAAGTCAAAAAGGGGAAAAAGTCAGAATTTTGATGGACAGAATTTAGAAAGAATTAAAGTGACAAATCTAATTTCGTATTCACGTGTCAACAGAATTTCTTGAGTGTAATTCTAAGACCATAGCCCGGTTACTATAGCAATGATTCCAGGGAACTGCCAGGAAATTAAACACGAATTTTCCATTTCCTTAAACTGTTCAACTAAAGACTAGGTTGGATTTATCTGAGAACAAGAGTCGTCGCCATTACAGATATTAAACAATCAAACTCCAGTGTAATTTACAAAACTTGGAATGGCTTAGTTGACTTTTATAATCCGAAACGAAAGCAAATACTTGTTTTCCATTTTAGAGTGTCTTTTTAATTCCAAAATGGTACCGAGAGATAGTTCAGTCGTCAGCGGAATTGATTTGGTGCCAAGTGTCTTCCACTGTTCCTACTGCACGTGGCATATATGTCACGTGATTTGGATATCGTCATGGCTGGATTTGACGTTTTCATTGACGGAATTCCCCTCGGTCAAAACCTACATTATTTTAACCAAGTCAAGACATATAAGTTAATTTGTGAGAAGGAAAAACTTATTGTTACTATTATTTTACCATCAATACAGAACGATAATAGAATTAATCTTTACTGTACCCTAGTTTACTATGACTAATTTTCGATTTTCATATAATTTGTACAACTTCATTCTCTCGAGAATCAAATACGTCTTTCGTATTTTTGAAAACATTTTTATACGCCACATTGAAATGTGGTCGTATATTGTCGTCGCACCCGTCCGTCCGGCAATTGTGGACGCTCTAGAGGCTAAAGTTAATGAGACGAAGAATCCTATTGATTTACAACTATTTCTGCCTGAGTTGTGGCCCTTGATCACTCTTAACAAATCTTGTGGACGCTCTGGAGACTAATGTTAACATCCGATTGTCTTTGAATTTATACACAATGTTAAAGTACACGAGACGAAGAATCCTATTGATTTTCAACTATTGTTGATAATTACTGCCTCATTTATATGGCTCTTGATCACTCTAAAAAATCTTGTGGACGCTCTAGAGGCTAAAGTTAATATCCGATTGACTATATTTATACAGAGGGATCACGTAGCTAAGTGGGTAAGACGCTGGCTCGCTAGCCTGGAGGTCGGGTGTTCGATCCCTGCATTGGCCGAGAAAGTTCATCCAGATTTTCCAGCGTGGTTTCCCCTTGTCAGTGATGCAGGACGGAGGGCCTGACAAGGACAGCTGTCTAGTCGTTCGGATGGGACGAAAAACCGAGGCCCCGTGTACACATTGGCGTGCACGTAAAAGATCCCTTGGCAGTTGGAATTCGATATAAGAGTAAGCACACTGTATGGCGTATGCCCGTCTTCATTAGCCCAGTTTAGCAGCAGAACAGTAGGACGTTAAACCCCATTTCATTTCATTTCATTTCATTTCATTTATATTTATACAGTGTTTAAGGTCACGAGACAAAGAAGCCTATCAATTTTCAACGATTTCTGATCATTATGGCAATTGATATTAGATGTTTTAATGGGATTAATAAATTTGACACTAACGGATTTGTCATTATCCAAAATATTCTTGATCAGAGTACAATGTCGGAATTGTCTTTCTTTTCAGATTATAAATCAAGTTCAAATAGAGTTGGAAACGAGGCTTAAATATAAATATGGCGTCGATTTGAATTCGCCAGAAAATCAACAATTTACCGAATCCTGGGATAAATTACAACGAAAGGTAAAATACTTGGACAGTAGAAAATCAGAGGCCATGAACTAGACACGTAACTGTTCTTCTTGCCATTTACAAACCCAGAATCAAACACCAATTTAGAACAATACATGTGTTCGGTCCTAATGCTTGGTTCCCACTATCACGATTCGCGCTACGATTGAAGTCGTGGTTTTAATCGTGGAGTAATCATGGTGATTCTATCAGATCTTATCATATATTGAGGTCAGTCGTAGCAATCGTGTTGATCGTATCGAAACGTATCTGAACGTATCGACACGTACCAGATCGTGGACTCAATAGGGTAATTCCTGGTATAATGCTAGTTTCCCACTATGACGATTCGCGCTACGATTGAAGTCGTGGTTTTAATCGTGGAGTAATCATGGTGATCCTATCACATCTTATCATATATTGAGGTCAGTCGTAGCAATCGTGTTGATCGTATCGAAACGTATCCGAACGTATCTGCACGTACCAGATCGTGGACTCAATAGGGACAATCCTATGGTAACGCATCGCGCGACAGTGGGAAGCTAGCATTAGAGGTGTGTGTGTGGTGGGAGGGGAGGGGAGGGGGCAACTAGATTCTTGGTCGGCCGTCAGTCCTGCACCACTGACAAAGGGGAACTACGTCTGATAATCCGGGGGAACTTTCATTGAGACAATATGTCCCCCCTCTGTATATTTCCACGAATAAACAGTTATTGTATTCCATATTATTATGTCCTTTATATTTCCAATTAATAAACGAAGAGCCTAGGGAGAGAACGATCTGAATCATATTCTTGTCTTTTCGTGTAAAACGCAAACAAGCCTAATGGGCGAGAATGCTTGACGCGAACACAACAACGAGTGGGTTTAATTACAACTTCAAAATGATGTTTAATACCTAGCATAATTATCAGTATAACTTTTCAAACAAATTTAGGTCAAAAGAAAGGTACGGTGGACTTGTTTTCAACCGGGAGATCATTCCAGAAGGGCCTTGGTTCGATGTGACTCTGGTCGTTTTTTTCCTGAAATCAATTCTTCCGCCCGCTAAAAGCTTATACAATTTGCCACCATTAACTGGGTTTCATGGAAAAGGTAACATAGATCGTTCTTCCCCTGGGCTCTTACTGTGACTTGTGTTTGTGTTGATGTTTCAGTTGATGTGTTGTGGTATTACTGGTGGTATCAATTCAACAGAATCCTGGGCTTTTTATAAACTTTCTGATACTAAATGGTATCAACAGTTTTCTTCAGGTATAACAATTTATTAAACAATTTTTTCTCTAATTAATAAATCATTAGAACCTAAACAACTTCACAGTTTGACACGGACCATTGCTCAAGAAACTCCGGCCCTTCCATAGTTTTTCACGGACCATGGGAATATTTCCTATTCGGGTCCTGGTGGTGTAGGCTAGCCCAGGGAATGGTCAGGGCTGACAGTGAAATGAAATGAGGTTTAACGTCCTACTTTTGTGCACTGACTGGTCTAATGACGACGGAAGAGGTCGGGAAGTGGGTCTTTCAGAGCATATGAGCCTTGATGTGCGTCAACTGGACTAGCCCACCTCCTTGTCAGGCCCTCCGTCCTGCATCACTGACAAGGGGAAACCACGCTGGAAAATCTGGATGAACTTTCTCGGCCAATGGGAATATTTCCTATTCGGGTCCTGGTGGTGTAGGCTAGCCCAGGGAATGGTCAGGGCTGACAGTGAAATGAAATGAGGTTTAACGTCCTACTTTTGTGCACTGACTGGTCTAATGACGACGGAAGAGGTCGGGAAGTGGGTCTTTCAGAGCATATGAGCCTTGATGTGCGTCAACTGGACTAGCCCACCTCCCCCGGAAGCTCAGGGGTTCTAACGATTTAGATGTGTTAAGCAATCAATTAAAAGAGTATAAACACTTTATTTATGTATAAAATGGTGTCCTTGGGATCTGTCAGTATTTAAATGATTTCTATTTACACCAGGTGTACCATATGTACCCAGTAGTTGCTGTGATCCGGCTGGGGAATTACCCAAATGTGACGGAACTATGGCCTTTTACGGTCCACCTAGTCTCGGACCACCAGTTAATTCTAGTATGCTGATGAATGAAGCTTTATACCCGGAGGTAAGTGATGGAGTTGTGTAAAACGTCTATAACCATAGGTTGCCAGGCAACGAATCGTGCACACACAAGCAACTGTGAGCTAAACATCTCTTAAGATTTCAAAATGATCAGATCATAATTAATGCTTCATAGGCGCGGACAATAGTTTGGAAATCAATAGGGTCGGACGGAGGAAAAATGGTCACGGCTGTATACGACCACATTTCCGAACCCCCCAACCAAATGGACTTACCATATGAGTACAATACCCATACAATAACATCCCGGAAGTAATACCCAGGAAGTAACACGCCGGAAAAAACATCCCGGAAATAAAACCCGGAAATAACATCCTAGGCCTACCCGGTTCAAGGCTTTGTTTTAACCAAAGTCAAAGAATCTGAGTTCCTTTAAATCCATGTTATATTGACATTTACATTTCTACATTTACTTCCTGTGTCTCCAAGGAATTATTTTTAGAAATGTCCATTGACATTAATTAAACTGGATGCTAGAGGCTAGACTGAAAGATTATCCAGACATTGGGTATTGTATTGGAGGTTATTGTTGGTTATTTTCATCTTACCATAAATAGAAATATGAGTGATAAACGTATTTTACTGATTAATTTCAGGGTTGCTATGACAAATTACAAAACTCCCTAGAGATGAACTCCTTACTGATTGGTGGATTCGCTCTAGCAACGCTTGTTGTCATGGTGAGATGCTTTTCTTTACATTTAATCATCTGACCAGTTGCAGAATTGTAGACATTACTGTAGTATGTTATGCACGATAAAATTATTATATTTGTGAGAGTAGATTTGATTCTGTAGTGGTGAAATCGTAGGGACTGTCATTGAGCCAAGTGGCGTGGTTTAGAACCCTCGATTGTGCATGACAAGGAGTAGGATCGTCTCTCCAACCTCGTGGGGTTTCTTCGTTTCCACGGGTTCCCTTCCACTGCTAAAGCCCCTTATGCGCAAGCGATTTATTGAAATAAAATAGAACCATTTGTTAGTTTCTAAATTACCTAGCTTGTGTCGTTTGGATGCGAAGGAAAATCAAGGTCCTATGCCCAATGACAAGAAACCACGCTTAAAATTCTCTCTCGAGGAACCTCTTCAGGCAACACCCTTAACAGACACCTTTAACAGATACACTTATCACAGAGAGTGAAATTGGGTTTAACGTCTACTTGACGCAAACCAGGTAATTTCGGGAATAACATGGTTCAATTTTATTTCAATAATTCGCTTGCGCGTAGGGGTATTTAGCAGTTGGAGGAAACCGGAGGACCTGGGGAAAACCCACGAGGTTGGACAGACGACCCTACTTCTTGTCACGTACAACCGTAGAATCGAAACCTCCGCCAGTTGACTCAATGACAGACACACTGAGCCACCATAGCTCCTAGTATATCTTGTGTCATAACTATCTGATTACCTCACGCTATTTGTTTTGAAATGTATATAAATATAAATATTATCAATTATTTTATCTTTCAGGTTATTGGTATTCTATTTTCTATTTGTTTGTTTCGACAACTTGGTGGAGGACAGATGGTTTAAACAAAATATCTCATGTTTCCCAGACATTCATAAATAGTCAACGATAAGGAGGGGAGAAATGACGTCATCACGTTTAACATGTATCTTGATTGCTATAGTCGGGATCATTTTGTCTTGTTTTATCTTGAATGCTGTAGTCATGATCATTTTGTTTTGTTTTATCTTGATTGCTATAGTCGTGATCATTTTGTCTTGTTTTAACTTTATTGCTGTAGGCCTGATCATATTGTCTTGTTTTGCACACAGTGTTACGAAATCCCATGATGTTATTGTTCGCCTTCAGACCACCCGCAGTTACATTCACAATTTTTCTCGCTGAATGATTTTTGATATTTTCAGACTTGTATCATAATTATTAGTTATATAATAAATAATTTTAGGTGGAAATATACCATGGGTCTATCTTTAAAGATGCCGGATGTGACGTTATGAGGGGAACAGTAAGTCAGTGTTTATTAAAAAATAAAACCAATATAACCCACTGCCTCCCCCCTTCGTACCCTGTATAAACACGTGGCATATACTAAGAAAGTCGTTACATCACATCAAAGACTATTTGATAAATTTATTTTAGTTACCCTCATAACGAGAGAGAGAGAGAGAGAGAGAGAGAGAGAGAGAGAGAGAGATTAACGCCCACTCGACACAAACTAGGTAATTTCGGGACTAACATATGGTTCAATTTTATTTCAATAATTCGCTTGTGCATAGGGGTCTTTAGCAGTGGGAGGAAACCGGAGGACCCGGAGAAAACCCACGATGTTGGACACATAACGTTAGAACAGGAGTTTTTATTTGCTAATTAAAGACGAAACAATTTGTACTATGGGTTGACACTTTTTCAAATGGTAGATAGCATATATACAGAATCTGGAAGCTGGAACCAAGCAACCGTAGTGTTATATATCTAGCCCGCCTCCCACTGCCGTATGGTGGTAAACCGAGTATGATCCGATCCCACAGTCAATTACTATTAAGTGATTTCATCTGAATCAATCTGTACCACAAAAAATTGATACAAGGGGCCGAAGAATTGTCAAGTTATCGTTTTTATCTCCTCGATTATCCCCCCATTTCACCCCTGATGTAAATTACACGATTCAAGTAGGAGAATGAAAAGCTCTTCATCTTTAATCAGGAAAGGAAAACACAAAAAGTATCGACTTCAAGTCAACATGGATCGTTTCTTCCTTCAATATTGAAGAGTTGTATTAATCTCGAAGAGCGACGTGATGACAAGACTTTTATTTTCCATTTGAAGAATACAATTTATTCCCGTGTAATGTTTTTTTTTTATTCACTTTGAATTGAACATATTATCTGATATCTTGACGAACGGTGAAATAAACAACTATACTTGTGCGTTTTAGACACGTATCATTGAGTCAAGTGACGTAGTCATTCTGCACACAGAGTTCCATCTACTTCATACTTCGAGAATAGTAATTGACCGCCATATCCAAAAATTTGTATACTATTTTGTAATGTGGTTCTACTCTTGTTTCATATCAGTTATACACATAAAGATTAAATAAACTTTTTCAATTTTATTAAATGGAATTAGAATGAATATACCTATAAGTGTTTTCGACTAAAATCGTCGATTTAGGACTTAAAATGTCGATCAACTAGCTTAGTGTCTGTTCTCTAGCGGAGCTAACTGTCGACGGGCAGCCTAAGTTTAGTATGGTGACGTGGTTTCCATCCGATACCTGTCCTAGTAAATTCCTTGGGGTTTTTACAGTGTGATTTACTATTTTCAGTGGTACGCTTCAAATTGAAAAATCTGTCATTGATGTCAGGCTACAATCCCAATCTTATATGTGACGTTACCTGTCTAAGCTCGTGTGTTTTCTGTGGATGATTGATAAAAAGATATACCATGATATGTTAGCCCTGACAAAAATATGACCAACACTGCAGACGAGAAACCATGATGTATTATATTTATACCCTAGATACGATGTGTTAGGTATATGTCGATCCTTCGGTTGTCTGTCAGCTCACCTGTATTTATACCCTAGATACGATGTATTAGGTGTATGTCGACCCTTCGGTTGTCTGTCAGCTCACCTGTATTCGTCCCCCTGAAGCATGCGTCAATTCCCAACATGACTCTATTGCGTCAAATTGTCGGGCCAATCATTCTACCATATCAGCTTTCAAAGTCGCTCGATATAATTTAAAGAAGCTAAATCTCTAATATTTGGGATCTAGAAATTGATACAAATGGGTCGCAACGCATATAATAATGTAATATGAGTGTATATAAACGGATTTACATTCAATCATTTCCGTTTTCACTCTATTTTCAAATCAGTTATGTTCGGCGTCTGGTTATTCCAGTCTACACCGATAGTATTTATTGCACATGCTCTCCAGATAAGAATATGACGTCACCGCTTGACATGACTTTTGGAATGTATCTAGCCTCGTTCTTGTTACAAATGGCACTAAAACGCATTATGGTACACGATTCGTGTATCAATCGTAAAATGTTTATTTTGTCTTAAATATTGGATATTAAAAGCCCACCCTTTCCAGTTAAGACCACAACATAAATGTTGATTTAAATTGACAAATAATTCGTGTTTTCAAAGTCGAAGACTGTGGATGATTTTGAATTAGAGACTTAGCTACTTTAAACAGTTTATGTACACATATAGAATTATCTTTATTGAATATTTAACAAATATAGAATTATCTGCTACTTTCAATTTATAACAAATTCAAAATGATAATATACACCATGACTCGTCATCCCTTATATGGTAATTGGATAAGAACTATAATTAAAATGGTTGCCATGTAAAAGTGTCTGATTTCTAATATTTCTCATATATTTTGACATTCACTCTATCAAACATGGCGGCTGTTGTCAACTGGAAGACAAGATTCAATATATAAACATCACCAACCTGTATTTTTATTTTATAACCAGAAACCCGTTCTTGTCCTTTTCGTGCGGTTATCGATTATCCGTCTAAAACAAATATTAGTCTGGAAAATGAAAATTAGAAACAGAGTTTGGCTTTTAATATCGCCTTTATTTGATTTGATTTGATTTTATTTTAAAAAGATTGACAGAAATGTTTCAGACTGTTTCTTTGAATTTTTTGTGAAAGAAGGCAATAATGGCATATAGTTCATTTTGGGACAAATGGATTACGGCGGTTTTAAATTTTAGAAATGAGATCGCTGACACGCCTCTTTATCCTTGACAGGTAATTTAACAACACGGAGAAAACCCACTCGACTTTTTTTTTGATGGGTGATGGGTATTGTGGTGTACAAATAATTTAGAAACCAACGTAAAACTTTATTTGTCTTTGGTGTCGGATCAGGGCCTGAATGAGAGAGAGAGAAATGGGGTTTAACGTCCACTCCACACAAACTAGGTCATTTCAGGACTAACATATGGTTCAATTTTATTTCCATATTTCGCTTGCGCGTAGGGGTCTTTAGCAGTGGGAAGAAACCGGAGGACCTGGCGAAAACCCAGGGGAACCGGGGAATCGAAACCACGCACCAGCGCGCACCATTTAGCCATCCACCCTCCGCCTGAATGAGACATGACTCTAAGCACTCCAAAGATTACCGGTATATTTCTCCCATATATATGTAAATGTGAAATTAAAAGTATAAAAGATACTAAATCGTAAGAGGTTGGAAATGTATTGGTTTTAATCTGTGATTGCTCTGTAGATCATTCGAGCTATAGATGCCTTGTACGCGACCATGGTCATGAGGAACAGTATTTCATGGGTTGGAAATGTATTGGTTTTAATCTGTGATTGCTCTGTAGATCATTCGAGCTATAGATGCCTTGTACGCGACCATGGTCATGAGGAACAGTATTTCATGGGCCACAAAATTCCACTGTTTAAATCGCCTGCCTAACATCTTTCAGTTTTTCATGGAGGCACAAAATTCCATAAATTGCCTGCCTAACCTCTTTCGTTTTGTTCTCCCGATCCTCTCCCATATTTAATATTTAAACACTCCTGCGTGAAGCCTGTTACACCCCTCTCTCTCTCTCTCTCTCTCTCTCCGTCGTGAGATGAGAGGTAAGATTTTATGAATTTGAAACCTTAACATTAATCTGTTCTTTTAGTATGAAGGATTGAGTCTAACCGCCATGTTTTATTTATCAGAGGCTCACATAATAGAAAATCTACTTTATGATGTCAATTGGTCACATATCACCAATCATTTCCCCATTGACTTTAATGTTAATTGCTCTGAGTTTTTCCCAAATTTTCGCTTGGCAGAATGCTTTCTACCACAGATGGAGCAACATGTGGCAACCTTTTGCCCAAAAGCACGTATGAGGTTCACCATGGAAAACTTGAGATATACAAAATGGAAGTACAGACCAAAAAAACATGCAATTTTCCGCCCCACTTTTCAACCTAACCAACCTCTCAACCTTCGTATCCTTCCGCCTCAAAATCATGAGTATTCACCAAACTCTTGCAGAAAATGTCTTTTCAATCCCATTTCTTCGATTCTACGCCAAAATCGCCATGCAGAAGGGGGAAAGGGGAGAGAAAGATTATCAATAGTTTTCGCCCTACATTCGGCGTAGGAATATTTGGTGAGATGTGTCCAATGAACAACAAAGATATTCAAAGACAAAAACATTGAGACGAATGATCTGTTTATTTACTTTCTAACCAATCCCTGGAGCTGTATCATATAACGCATGATTCAACTCTTGAATGTAAAATACAGGAGTCGGAATTCGCTATCAATGGTTTACATTGTATTTCACGTGTCTTTACAACCACCTTAAGATCGACGAATCATGAATATATCTCACGAACACTTGTCAGAAATTGGTACCTTTCCTGCTTAATGATCAGTAAGATGTCTATAATATAACTATAACTTCCTCCTCGGACGAAATCGATATCACAATACGAAACCACCATTTTTATTTTTGTCTTATATCAGATAATGATTTGAAAGGCGTAGATGTTACACTTCAAGACGTGTCATCCCTTTTAACAGAAACTATGTGAAAGTATTCAGTGAATATACCATGAAACAGTTAAACGACACCTTCTTCCAAATATGTTTACCGATGCGTTTCATATAAACCCGGTTAAATTCTAGCCATCTAATGCATGGCAGACTAAACCTTTAGCTAGGACAATTTCTAATGGTCTAAAATTATGCAAGCATTGTAATTACACATGTATTAAACATACATTATGGAAGAGCTAAATCTGTCTATTGCAGGTCTTTCTTTAGGCCCCAAATGTTATATAAACTATTAATTAGACATTTATTAACAATACAAGACCATAATTAATTCTCGATGGCATCGGATACTCGAGATTTTAACTAGATTAGAACGGCTCGCCATGCACACATCTTGTCAAAACAACAAACAGTGATAACTTGGCTCAGAATAAAGTAATTGGAATGAGATTTTTAAATTATTCATTTTACATTATCTATTTTTGAGCTATTATAGCAAGAATGGTCAGCTCTTTATCTAAATCTTGCATAATGTATCTTTAATTCGGTGGTCATTATAGACAATCATGCATATCCAGGAAGCGATATTTCTAAGCATCGCCATCCTTGTATTCGTATCCAACATACTGTAATTCAGGGGGTTGGATGGCCGAATGGTTAGCACGTGCGCGCTGTATCATACGGTCTGTCATTGAGTCAACTGGCGTAGTTTCGATTCCCCGGTTGTACGTGACAAGGAGTAGGGTCGCCTGTCCAACTTCGTGGGTTTTCTCCGGGTCCTTCGGTCCCCCCCCCCACTGCTAAAGATCCCTACGCGCAAGCGAATTATTGAAATAAAATTGAACCATGTGTTAGTCCCGAAATGCCCTAGTTTGTGTCGAATGGACGTTAAAACCCATTTCTCTCTCTCTCTCTCGCTCTCTCTCTCTCTCATACTGTAATTCAGTTATAAGATTGTAAACACTGCAAATGAATATTGTTTAATCCATAAATCTCCATTATCGAGACATTTAAAAACAATGATAACAAACAGAATGGGATATTCACACAAACCTTTCTATTTTATTTTTCTACTTTAATCAAAGATAATTTGGATTGGTTTGTTCACGAAGCTTTCAATGGCAATGAATTTGTGGCCATTTACTCTCCAGAGACAAAATGAATAATAAAACATCTGAATACCGCCAATTGCTTTCGACAAACATAATTTCCAAAGCATAAAACATTTTCTTATAGACTATGTCGTTTTTGAGATTGGATATACATATACATAAAGTACATATTTTAATATTAATGTAATATGAATGTATGTGCTGTGATTTACATTCAATTTTTAAATTTGTATTGTAATTTATAATCAATTATGTTAGGTGAAATACCTGAACTGTCCACAAACTGAACGGCAGTCGTTTCCCCATGCTTAGTACGTGACAAGGAGTAGGGTCGCCTGTCCAATCTCGTGG